GTTACGCTGCCATGTAAAACAGAGAACCGATGCGTTACACGTTTCAGATACCGAATGACTTTTAAAAACAGCGACAATAAATGAAACACCTTTCTTGTAATCATTATATTATATCGCACAGATGCCTTTAGGAATTGATATAATAAAGTTATATAAATATTTGGTTCATCTTCTAATAATAAACAAGGAAGAATCGTATCACTTCGATTTTGAAAACAATACACATTTTAAATTTTTATTATTTTTTTTTTATTGGTAGTTTTTAATTTATTTTTTCAATATTAGAGTCTCAAATTATATTTAAGCCCGCTATCATCGAACGATATTTTGAGGATTCATATATTTTTTAAGAGAAAAATCATTAAGGGAATAAGAAGAGAAAGACATGTTTGGGGAAAAATTGATGATCTCTGGCACGATGATAGAAGAGTTTGTTCACACAATCACATGCCTAATGTTGTTACATGTATACACAATTTGATTACATTTTAAACATGTTTCATGAGTAGAATAAAAAATATTTTAAACTCGTAGTGTAACTTTTTTTAACAAAAATTTAATAATAAATAATATTCTCTAAGCCCTCTCCAATCAACAAACCACTATTCAAAAACATATACCATCAACTGCACACATTAAAAGAATCATACAGAAAGTTAATTTTTGTTTGAATTCCAAGTCATACTGGCAGAAACACAATGGCGTAACAGCAAGAGACGCACACTCGTTGAACGAATTCGAAAGCTCATACCACTCTAACGCAGAAATTTTTCGGTCTTTTCAAAGGCCCATATTGAAGATATAACAAGCAGTGCCGGCCTTAGGGTAGAGCAACCGGGACAAAATAAAAAAAGTATTAAAATAATTAATTTTAGCCCATCATTAAAGAAACTGTATTAGAGAAATGTTGAATGAAATAAAATTCAAATATTACATAATATAAAACAGTTTGAGAAATAAATTTACTGGCACTGATAACAAGCTTTGTAGGATAAAAAAAAGCGAGTAAGTGTAAATTGGTCAAAAAGGGAGGCGAACGGAGGAAGTTGTCATATATTTATTTTGCAATCTAATAAATAAAAAAAAATACCACAAAATCTACACCACTGTAAAGCCGAAAAATAAATAAAATAAAATATCAGACGAACGATCAATAAAAAAACAATTATAGCTTACTGGATTTATCCATGAACGTGAAGAAATGATATGCATGATAAATATATTCTTATTAATGTTTATCTCCTATAATACACAATTTTGTTTTAAAAAATCATGTTTTATTTCGTTAAATTTCAACGGAAATTTCATATAAATTGATACCTAGAAATCATTTAAGAAACGCTAGTTACATGACCTATTTAATAATACTTCTCACAACATTTTTTTCAATCCCCCAAAAAATAGAAAGGTAATGCAGGATTTGAGGGGGTAATTTAAATAATTTCACATTTGGTCTAAAATGTAGACATTTATTTTATATATTATATATATATATATATATATATATATATATATATATATATATGTGTGTGTGAGTGTGTGTGTGTGTATGTTTGTGTATGATTATCACGTAATTGTTTCTTTTAAGTACAAAACCGTGAATTTTAAAAAGGTAAATGACATTTCAAAAAATATATTCCTCTCATTTAATGCTATGGTTACCTGGAATCAATATAAAAATCAATTGTTTGTCATATATGTATGAAATTATTAATTAATTTTTTGATTTTCCTAGACTACATTTTACATCGTTAAACTTCTAGCAACCATGAAAATAATATGTAACACAAACATAAATTTGTTTTGAATACTTAAAAACGTTAAACTAAAATAAATAAAATAGGAACTGCAAAAGACACTAGTACATATAGAAATACAAACAAGAATAAAAATAAAATAACTGACAATAAATAAATAATTTCAATTTAAAATCTGTCTACGAGAAAACGGTTGACTGCAAATGGCCAAATATTTTTTCCTCCATATTGAATGCTAGAATGAATTCAAACATTTGTTAGTTTCAAAAATACTTACTCTAGTGCTCAAAACTTTTACTTCTAGTGTTCAGTGGTAGACTATTTCAAAGAGATGAACAGCGACAAAAAGACGCTTCCTGGCTTCAAAAGGAAAGTTGGTGCAGACTAACGCGTCAAAGTATCGATAGGCTTTGACACGTGAAGATGTGGGAGGGAAAACGCATCCCAAAGAAAGTTGTGACCGAACGCTTCGTAGAAAGCACCATGAGAAGTCTTCCACAAGTGGATCAAAAACTCTTTTATATGTCGAATCAAAAATGGAAACCAATCTGAGAAAGATGAGATCTAAAATAGTTTTTAAAATGTGTGAGATAATTATTTAATTTTTTATTTTTGGTGTCCATAATTCTGGATTCCATTATCTAAGAGTTCCATTATTCTCGCCGTTTACTTACAATTAGGAAGGTAGATCAAGAATAAATCTTATAAGAGCTTTATGATATATTAAAGCATCATTCAATAAAATTAAATGAGAAGTATTTTTGATCCTTGCCCCATAAAAAAATAAAAACAGTGCAAAGTTTGGCTTACACTAAGAATAATTAATTCTGAATTTATCACATTATAAAACAAAAATTGGTATCCATATATATAAAAAGGTTTAATGATTGATGTGATTAAAAAAAACGATGTTTAAAGATAGCCTGGCAAAATATTTTAACTACAGGAATGGGTTAAGGACAAGCACTAGAGGTTAGTACCTATGGTAGTTTCAATAATAAGCAATTAGTAGTGTGTGAAAAGATATACAAGTCGAAATATTAGGATCATATAGTCAATGAATGAACAGAAGAACGCATATCAATCAGGCATGTTTTTGATTATTAAGCATTGGAAGACAGTGGAACTATCAACTTATTGTCATCAGACAGGAAAATATAATAAGGAAATCCTGACTGGAGAAGTTAGCAAGACGCATCAAAGCTCCAAGGGGCCACATAAATGAATCTTATGAAACAAAGCATTAATCTCTTCAGTCTCATCTAGAACTCACCAGGCAGTCTCCCATATGCTAAGCATCCATTGTAACGCTGAAAGAAAATAAAGCATACAGCAAGATAAACAGGCACCGATTTTCGATTCCTAGAGCTCTCTTGGTCAATAATATTTAGCCGCTGCCAGCAGTGGAGTCAATGAGCTTAAAACCTTACCAAAATACGAAAAATTCTAACCCAGATGTTAAGTAAAAATTAAGTTTTTATTTTTTTTTAATCCTCCTCGAATAAATAAATAAAATATTTTCCTCCATAAAAATTTGTTTATTTATGAGTTGAATTTTAAATCATTCCTTTTATCGTTGTTCATAATTTGATTAATTATTATTCTAATAGGGGAATAAAGGAAAATCTTAGGTAGATAAATTATTCCAAACTCAATAATATTTTACAAGTAGTTTATTTTTATTACAGTTTATAAATATTTTTATATGAAATACAATACCTACATAGAAGAACAATTTTTCTTGGATTTTCGAAAAATCTGTTTACAACTGGATTTAAAAATCTGTTATTGCTCAGGTCTTTTAAATTTAAATTTTATTTCGCACTACTGAGGTCAGTGGCAGTTCAACGGAATGATGTAAAAACTATAAGTTGAACTACAAGATATGTATTACCAATACTGTACATATGACGTGTATTGAAAGAATGACTTGGCAGTTTTGCATTGAAAGTAGAGAGAATTGTTTAAAATCGTTCTTCATAGCGTGACTTTGATTCTATTGTCAAGGACTTGACAGCGTTTGAGGACGTGTCGTCAGGGCATGTTATAGCAATCCATCTTTTTCTGATTCTGTGTCATATGATATATGGCAGACGAATTCTAATTCTAGTTATCTTATTTGTTTTATAAGTAAACTTTGAATTTACAAACGTGCATTCAAAGATAGAGAGCAACGAAATAGAGTTCAGGTTTGCTAAAGAAGCAGCCAGAAAATCGCAACTTCGTTGAGGTCGCAGCTAGTAATAATTTGGTGAAGTACATCTCATTAGTTAGCATGGTAAGAGAGGACAGGATGGCCGACCACGTTGGGGCGTGAGTCCTAGAGAGCCCGGTCCTAAACGTTGTGGGTTCGATTTCCACCTGGGTCGGTTATATTTCATTTTTCGGCGGCCCCGGGAAATGGATCGTGACATTCCCACTCTGGTGAGTATTCCGCGGCAAATTCAAGGTAGCCGTCAGGGGTTGGCAAAAAGGACCACATAGGCCCACTCGCCTAGTGTTGCCCAAATGCGAGACCGAGACGAGTCTTGGTCTTGCGCAAGACTCTCGTAACAGTCTTGCAGTTACCTATTAGCTTATTACTAGTGAGATATTACTGTATTTTTTTAGATATGAGAAACTTAAGTCTGAATGAAAAATTAGAAGACTTAAATGCAAAAGTATATTGGTTACACCAATACTTTATATGTGGTAACTAAAATTGTCAAGCATTAGCAACTATTTTGCCTCAATTTTCATTCGAAAAATCGATTTTTTTTACTAGTCTTGGTCTTGGTCTTGCAACAGATAGGCGGTGTTGGTCTTGGTCTTGCAAAGTGCAAGACCAAGACCGATTTTGGCAACACTACACTCGCCGCACTAATTCTCCCCACCAGTACTACAGTAAGGGCATCTTGCATCCAGCAAGGAACGAGTTCGGTTTCAATCCTTGTTTGTGTTAGTAAATATTCCATTGACACAACATTAATGGCCTTTGCCAGAATAGATATTGAGAATTAGTAGGCGCATTTTGGATCCATTCCGATTATAATGAAGTTATCATAGCTTAGTGATAAGCACTCCCTTCCTCCTTCCCTCCCCCCTCCCCCCCATGTGTTCCATAATGAAAATCAGAAGAAAACAAATCAGGTGTCTCTATCTCTTCACCTTTTCGTTATAATAAATTTTAGCTATAATTAAATACTAGAATTAAAATAATAAAAATTTCATCTTTTATTATAGTTATATTTTTTTTATTTACAGTCGAACGTAATTTTTACATGATGGTCCTGGAAAAAAATGTGATCTCTTTAAGAAACGAGCAAGAAATATGAGAGAAGAGGATTTGGAGATCGCCATTAAGGTAATGAAATATTTTTCATTTTTATTGAATTGTCTACAATTATGGGTCATCCAAAATCAATAAACAAACTATATTCATTTTATCAGTAAATTATTCCATTATACTAAATAAATCAATTAAAAGCTTGTTTTAATAAAATATTTCCTTTCAATTTTTAAATCATCTTATGCATATCCCAGAACAATCCCTCTGTAAGAAATAGTTCATTAATTTCAGAGTATTGCCAGCCAAAAATATTAAGTTGATTTCAATACAGTCTACTATCATTGAGTAGAAACTAACAAATTGAAGTTGGCTACAGAAAAGAGAAAGGCAATTGTAATAAGCTTTAACCACACCCTTAAAACTGTTCCTAATATTCCAACCCTATTCCTAAATAAGAATCTCATTAAATTCTATCCAATCATAAGAAACTTGTGGCAATCTTTGATAACTAGCGGATCCAGGATTTAATTTTTTGGGGGGGAGGGCTTCAGCCCGAAAGTTTTATTTTTCATATATATAACAATAATTAATTAAAAAAAAGAAATTAATTACTTATATGAAATGGTGTTTAAGTGGTTCTTTAAGTCCTATTAAATTTAATTACACAAACAAGAATACTTTAAGAGATAGTTTTTAATATTTTTTTCTATAAAATATGGTTATATTTTACCGTTTTGGGATGGGGGGGGGGAGAGGGCTTCAGCCCTAAACCCCCTCCTTGTAGATCTGCCTTTTTCTTTGATCAAAATCTTTCATTGGAAAACCACGCATCCAATATCTCTACCATGTCTTTTCCAACTTAAAGGGACTAGATTTAGATTAGATTTGAACCCGTGGGATTGGCTCCTGGTTACTTCCTTAATATTTCCTCACTTTGACTGCTGTTTACAGAATATGAAGGTGGAGTTATCTCTGGGGATTTTGAGGATAAACTAAACCGTTTGATAAATTTCTTTGTATGTATCTTCAGGATCCCAGGGTTCCAATCCTCATCTCTATGATATTCCATCTTTTCCTAGATCCACTGCTCAAATACTCTCCTCTTTCTTTTCTGGTATATTATTCTAAAGGGATTTGTTCCAGAATATATAAACAATGTATTATTACTATTACTTCCAACCAGTGGCGGATCTAAGGGAGGGGCCTTCGATTTGAAGCTTCTCCCAAAACAGAATAATATATATTTTTTCATTAGTCCATATATATTTATGTGAGCGATCCAAGCAAAATACTTAAAAAATAACAATATATTATCTTTCTAAATTAAAATGCATATAAAGCTACTAAATGTAAAAATGTGTCAAGGAAAAAATAAGAAATTTATCTCTAAAAGCATTATTTTTTCTTTATTACTTTTTTTTTTTTTTGACCTTCACTAAGACTACTTAAACATCATTTCATACAGGTAGTTTTTTTTTTCGTTTTTCTCCAGAATAATTACCATTATCGAAAAAAGAAGAAAAGTTCCAAAAATTAAATCCTGGATCCACCACTGCTTCTACCTATTGAGAACTAAGTCAGCTGTAACTATGTCAAGTTTGAGCCGGATCATCAAACATCAAAAATAGAAATAAGTAGTTTTAAATAATAGTTAAAATTACAAAGTATTAAACAAATATTTCTTTTCAGGTTGTTATAGTAGGGAATGGAGCAGTTGGAAAATCTAGTATGATTCAAAGGTACTGTAAAGGTACTTTTACCAAAGAATATAAAAAGACAATAGGTGTGGACTTCCTGGAGAGACAAATTGAGTAAGTACCTACTTTTACTTAGATTATATAAATATTAATTTAAAAAAAACTTACCACAATCATTTAAATAACAAACTTATTAAACTATCATATCTTATTTAGAACATAAGACATTAATATCCTAAGAATATGCATATGAATCAAAATAAAAGTATTCGAACAAACACAAATACAAACTGCTTTTGTTGTATTATTTCTTAACAATTTGACATTCTAATTGACTTTTCATACTAAAAGGTGTGAAGGGGAAGATGTCAGATTAATGCTTTGGGATACTGCAGGACAAGAAGAGTTTGATGCCATTACTAAAGCATATTACAGAGGTGCCCAAGCATGTGTTCTTGCTTTCTCCACAACTGACAGGGATTCATTTGAAGCGATTCAGTCTTGGAAAAAAAAGGTAGTGAATTATATTATACTGTTGTTTTAATCGCATGTTATTATAAATGACTAAAATATTTTTTAAAACTTGCTCAGTTCTGAAATGAGATTTTTCACATTCTAGAATTTCTTCATATTACAGACAATTACAACCCCCGACTCACCACTATTGTACTGTGATAAAAGTTATTCATCATAATCATAATTATGGTGTTTTATTCAGATCAGTCATTTCCTTTTTATAAAATACGAAGAAGTATTATCAGTATCAAGTATTTTTAAGAGTACAGTGAACCGATTAATAATAGTAAAAGGTAATCAATTGTATTCAAATCATATACGCACACATATATCATATAAAGACACTATATGAAAATTATTGATACCTGAAAGAACGCTAAATAGCTGAAAATAAATTAAGGGATGTCCTAGATCATTTTTGCTATTTAGAAGAAAGTGTTATTGGATTTTAGGTATAAAATAAATTGAGAGTTGTTTCTTTAATGGATGGCACAAGTAAATAACCCTAAGCCAAGATTATATTGATAGTTGATCATATAGGAAATTAGGTAGCAGAAGTTCCATTTAGCCATAAATAATAACATAAATCATTGATAAATATTTATTAAACGCTGAGCTTTCTCAATTCATCAGGTCTGCTTATTCAGCTTATCATATAAATATAACATCAATAATAAATTATTTTAACTTGTAGGTATATTTATAAAATGATGTCTACTTTGGTTTATTATTTAAAAGGTTCGATTCATTAATAATATTATAAATAACTGTAGTAATTATTTTTTTGTGATTTTTTTAGGTTGAAGATGAATGTGGTGAAATACCAACTGTTTTGGTTCAAAATAAAATAGACTTGATGGACCAAAATGTGATAGAACCGTAAGTTAGTTTCAAATTAACACTCATGTAAAATTTAAGATATATTTAAATTCTACAATTAAATAAAAAAGGATATGGCTCTTATTATAATTAAGATGTCTTGGTTTCTCAGTTCTATTAAAAACATAAAGTTCATCTTCAGGAACCATAAAAATAATCTATTTTACCATTGCTTTTCATGAGCTAATCATATAGATACATTATACTCAAATTTAACGATTAATCAAGGATTTAACTTATTTGAGATCTCCAAATAGTGACATAAATAGTCCAAAAGACCTTCACTCCGCAGTTTAATTCAGATGTCCATAGATCCCGGCTACTCCTTCAAACACGCTAATTCAACTATAAAAACTCAAAAATAATCTCATCAAAACATAAGAATAAGTCAAGACCCAATGATGTAAATAATATTAATGCTTTAAACCACAGTGGCTTTGGATGGCGCAGTGCATAGTCATGTGAACCAAATGAAAAAAAAATTGTCTTTTAATCATTATTTACTTCTTTGTTATAAACATAATTATGCTGTGATTAGTATAGTGGTGGTATTGAAAACAGTTGTGAGGTTAAGACGTACACCTTAGATTAAGGTACACCTTATGAGTTAAGATATATATATGCCTGTGTGTGTGTGGTGTACATCTTAACCTCACAACTGTTTTCAAAACCACTACTATACTATATATATATATATGCATACTAATCACATAAAAAAATACTATACTAATCAAAGCATGGATGGCTGTCCTTCTTAGTTAAGGTAATAGTTTAAAGTTCAGGCCTCCTGCTTATCCAGGATTCCAAGAGACTTTAGCCTTTTATTACTCTTCTCATTTTTCAGTCTAAATGAGCATCCCCTCACCCACAATCCAAATTGTGCCTTTGAATTAGTTCTTTCCTTTTCTTAATTTCTCTGGTGGTTCTTGGATTGAGGGACCTCTCCCCTACACCACCAGAGCTGCAGGGCTATTATTTATACCACTGGCTCCAGAGTAATAGGGTTATGATTTTACAACATGGCCTCTTACTTTCATAAAACTGTAATTTACAATAAATAACAAGCAATTTAAAAAAAAATTTAAATGGTCTCATTGGTTAACCTTATTAGGTTAAGTTACAGTTTAGTAAAAAAACCTACCATTGAATAAAATAGATGCAACTTTTAAAATTAGGAATTATTCTTAATTTAATATAGAAAACTATAAAATGATTCAATAGGTATGAAATTATGTAGAAAAAAAAATCTGTGAAAAAACTATATACATAAGTGACAACTTTTTCAATGACACTGCAACTGAAGTTGCTCTGATAAGTTATGGAGTACATATATATATATAATATAATATATTTTTAATAACATTCTAATTGTCAATAAATATAGCACAGCTGTGCAGTCCATCAAAATATCATTATACAGAAAATATATATTTTACCTTTATTAATTTTCATTATTTTAAAGTTATTTTATTTATAAAAACTTAATTTCTTTTTACAAAATTTTTTGCTAACCAATTAAGCTTTTATTTACACATTGCAGTGAAGAGGTGGATCTATTAGCAAGAATGCTAGGCTGTAGATTGCTCCTTACTTCAGTAAAAGAAGATGTGAATGTAAATGCAGTTTTTAGACATTTAGCATCAAGGTGCTTAGCAGAACTACGTAGAGAAGAAGAAGAGTATACAATGTCTTCAAATGGACACCACCCATTGACAATAAGTAATATTTTTGTAATATGATTTGCTATAATATAAATAGATATTATTTACTGAAGAAAAGTAAGGAGCATATAATATCATACCTATTTGCCTCAAATTTATATGTATGTATATGTGTGTAAAAATATATACACACATACGGTTGTGTTAAAAAGTCGTAACATTTTTTAAAAAATGGTAAATGTTTCAATTTCAATTTATTTTTATCATCTTAATTGTAAACTGGTTTAGCCTTGCAGACATTGTAGATGTAATATACATTTAAATTAGCATTATTTTCAATTAAAAACAAACCAAGATTCCATTCTGTTGTTTTGACATTTTTTCATCATCTGAATAATGCTTTCTTGAGCACCTGATACACCCAGCTTTCTAGAGTTTATACAATGGCTCTTGAATTTAAAAATGAAAAGTAATGCCTGATGTGGATAAAAAATTAGTGAAATTTAAACAATAAGAGAGCATTATTCAAATGATAAAAAAATGACAAAACAACAGAATGTAATCTTGGCTTGTTTTTAATTGGAAATAATGCTAATTTAAATATATATTAAATATACAATATCTGCAAGGTTAAACCAATATACAATTAAGAAGATAAAAACACTTATAAATTGAAACATTTATCTATTCTATAAAAATTTGTTTTTGTTTTTTCACACCACTATATATATATTTTAAGTTGTCACATAGATATAATTATATTTTTATTATTTGTATTAGAAGATCAACCTCATCAACCCCTCTCTCCCCTCTGATTTTCACTCAATCTCAATCTTTTCCAATCAAATTCCTGAAAAGACTAGTGCGATTGAAATCTCATCAAAGAGCCCAAACAATTTTATCCTCTCCAATCTGGTGTTCAACCTGGCTACTCAACATAATCTGCCTTCATTAAAATTACCATTTACATTCAGGCTGCTATAGATGATAAAAAATTAATAATTCTTGTACTCCTTCACTTCTCTAAAGACTTTTTTATCTCTTTCCAATATTTCTGTCACTTTTTTTTTTTAGTTTTGTTTTTTATTAAATTACTCTCCATCTCACCATACCTGACATACGGTGAGGGGAGGGGAGGGATTGGAGAAGGGAAATTGTTCTAGAGGTACAATCAAACCTATTCTAACTGAGTTGAAAGGTCAAGATTCCTTCTGTGGGTCTGCCTCAAAATAAATTTCAACTCACCCAGGCCAGATTTAAACTGGTGTTACTATACACGAGAATGATAAAACGCCCGGCCATCATAACCTCAATATCTTTTGGCATCAATCTTTCCTATCGCTATTTACCCAATCAATTGCTGAACATAATCAACCTTTGTCTACCTATGCTACTCTGTCCTCTGGGGTTGCCCGAGGTTTAAGAGTAACTCCTCTTAGCTTTAACTCCAACATTAAAGACTTTCATAAATCTATTCTTTGTAGCTCCCATTACCTCTATGCGAATGACATATACATTAAATCTTTCTCTGGAATCACTATATTGCCCACATCACCTGACAGCCAATTTTCACTCTCAAAATATTCCATTCCTTCCTCTATCTCTTACCCAAACCTGTGTATGGACTTTTAGTTTACTCCTTTATCTTGCCTAACATTGACAACGACTATATGGTGTACAGCAGATCTGAGCAGATCTCAGAGGCAGACTGAAGTTCATATTGTGTTGTAAGATTTATACTCGCTATGTGTATATATATATACCTTATTTTATTTTCTCTTCTCCTAATCTTTACGCATAATCACTTAAATATCTTAGGGAACATATGTATATCATTATTTGTTTTTTTATATATTTTTTTGTTTTAGTTTTTACAATTTCTTTCCCTACATATTAACTGTTATTATTATTTCTTTTAATTTTTATATTCCATCACTACAATGCTTTACCTATAAAATAGATTTTACTTTCCTTTCTAATTTCATTCAGTGATTATTATGCAATTATTTTAGCTCCAATATTGTAGTACTGAACCCCTATTACCCAATTGTCCTCGTTAATTTATCCTAAGAGCTTAATTAATACTTAATGTATTACATGTATTTTGTCATTATTCATTGTAATAAGTCTTTTGACCAGATTTGTAGTTAATATATATGAACAATACTGTTATTCTAAAGGGACCTAGTCCCAGAATAAAGATGATTTTTCTATTCTATTAAGATTTGTTAATGGAAACCAGTGATGTTCCCCTACTACGCTGAGTTAGAGTGGCTCTTCCCCTCCAAGAGGAAACAATATTTCCAAGGCACATTCCTTTAACAAATAATTAACAGTCGTTGCCCTTCCTAAGCCTACAATCTGCTCCAATTCAAGCCGTTCATTCCTTTTCTTACCACAAAATCTTATACCCATTTCCACATATCTGTCTCATTTTAACATTCTATCTGTTCAATTTTAACATGCTGTCTGCTCCAACATTTTCAGGAATTCACTTTCTCTTAAAATCTGACATGTTCCCTCTTTATTTGCACACCTTTGTTATTCTTAAATGACCCAAAACCAAGTTTTTTTTTTATTGTATTTTATAAAAACACATATATATATATATATATATATATATATATATATGTATAAGTATGCAATTAGATTTCATTTGGAGTGATGTTCGATTCTGTTCTTTTCTGTCCTGATTATGGCTGAATTGGCGAAACACTAATAGATGTTTTTCTTTGCCTGCATTTTGGGGACATAAGGCTGTGTGGTTTGGAACTTTCTTAATAATAACCTAACATATATATATATATATATAAATCTGTTTGAACAGGTAGATAAATTTAGGTATCTAGGTTCTACAATAACTAGAAAAAACGAAATTGAAGAAGAGATTAAGGTTAGACTGAAGGCGAGGAATGCTTGTTATTTTTCTGTGACAAAACTACTTAGTTCGTGCCTCTTGTCCCGGAACTTAAAAATTAGAATCTATAAAACAATTATCTTGCCTACAGTTCTTTATGGATGCGAAACTTGGCCACTTATATTAAGGGATGAGCAGCGTCCTAAGGTTTTTGAAAATAAAGTATTGCATAGAATATTCGGACCGAAGAAGGATGAGTTAACCGGAGAGTTCAGACGGTTACACAACGCCGAATTGTGTGAGCTGTATCCGGGTAATATAATTGAGGTAATTTCATCGCGGCGAATCAAATGGGCTTGTAAAGTTGTTGGGCTTAGTAACGAGAGAATTCCTAAAAGGTTAATATTTGCTGTGCCGAATGGTAAGCGTCCGAGGGGTAGACCGAAGCGAAGGTGGGAAGATTGCATTAAAGCCGATCTGAAGGGACTGGGTTTGGACGGCGAACGGTGGAGGGGGGTGTGTAACAAGCGATTGGTGGTGTCGGCATCGAACCTTCGGGTTCGCTAAGCCTTATTATTATTATTATTATTATATATATATATAAATCAACCTACAGTTATCAATCATTTTTTTCAGAACTTTGTTATTTTTATTTGTTACTATTTTATTTTAAATCTTTCCAAATTGAAAAGTAGGGAAGCTGCTCCATTTTTTCCATAGCTTGGTTACTATCATAAATCAAATAAACAATTACTTAGATATATTATTACTTGAAATGTTCACATTGATAAGTTGAAATAAATTTTACACATTTGTTTTCATATGAATAAATTTACAGGTGCCTTTGGCCCAATGATGAACAGCAATAAGTCCAACTACAGTAATGGAACAATTGTTTTGAAATCAGGAAAAATCAAGAACAAAAAGAAGAAAAACTTATTTATGAACAATTGTAGATTGTTGTGAATAGTTATAATTTGTAATGAATATAAGTGACTATATAATTTTAATAAACATAAATTGTGATTTACTTTTTGAAAATTCTAAAGTTTTTATTTTATAAGCAAATGAAGTTGTAAAAGACATTATGACATTAATAGAAGTTGTAATGTAGTACAAACTAATTAATGAGTTAAGACTGTTAATATTATATCCACTTATGTCTTGTATATTAACTTGTCCTTATTCGCATTATTTTTTAAAAATCATAAACATATGTCCATTGTTATATATAAAATAAAACAAGAGTAATCCACTTCCTTCCCAAAAAGTATATTGTGATGAATATGATGTATTATAAAAACAGTAATGTATAAATAAAAATATCAATAAATTTTCATTTAGTTTGGTTTATATAATATTATAAATTAAAAAGTATTTTCTAATAGTTTCAGACAGATAACAATTAAAATGAGAATCTAACCAAAATATACCTTTAATTTTATTTTGTTTTCTTATTTCAACTAAACACTTTATGGTTTAATAATATGATTACACTACAAGATTAGACATAAGTATTCTAATATTCACTTCTGCAAATAAACACACCTTTCTTTGCTACCAATTGAAATAAGTATAAAAGATTGGCATTTGAGTGATGAAGTTAATTAAATTAAATTTATTTCTATGAGGAAATATATCCTAATCATGCCTGAATACTTCATTTAAAACAAAAAATATGAATTCAAAAAATCTTTAAACATATCATCAGATAAAAGTAAAACTTTTTTCATTATATTCAGAGGTACATCACTATATCTTTAGCATATATTTTTGCATTAAAAACATGAATGTTCGTTTTTTTTTACTTTTTGTTTAATAATAAACATGGAAACATATCATTACAGAAATCTTTGATCATAGTTCTTTTAATTGAAAGAGTAGTTAGTTTGGAGGGTGTTGTCAAGAATCACATACAATAATATAACATAACATAATATTATTGTGTAATATTTATTTTAGCTTACATTTTGACCTATGTTGTAACTCTATATCAGGGCATGTCCAACAATGTCAGTATACTCAAGGTCAATGACAAGAAAGAATTACTCTTTCATTCTGCCACCATTTTATTTAATTCGTCTCATTCTGCCTTGTCACTGTTCATGAGTCTTCTGACATCGTTAGGCATGTCCTGATGAAGACCTAATTTAGTTAGAAACATATGATAAAATAAATATTACACCACAATAATGTGATTGTTGACCTGACTAACTATTCCTTCAATTCTAAAAAAAAAAAAAAAGATCCCACACACTATGATTTCCTTGATGAATACGATCTTGCAGAATTAAGATGCAGGTATATCTCCTTAATATTTTTTTCTTCCAGATGAATTTTCAAAATATCTACAGAATAATGCTTAAAGCTGCACCATATTTAAAATTATGAGACTAGTTAATATACAAATAATTATTGACTAGCAAATTTACAGAAAAAAAGGTACATATACCACCAAAAACAATTTATGAAAGATAGATCTTAAGAAAGAGAAATTCATTAACCAAAATTAATAAATTAAAAATTTTAGAATAGAAATTTTGAAAAATGCAGTTATATTTTAAAACCAATACACAATTTTATCTGTAATATATATTATAGATTTATTTTTTTCTTATACTAAACATAATAATTATATCAAATATTCAAAAACATATTTTATCAACATCAAATTAAAAAGAAGTAATTCAATATTTAAGTTTAAAAATATTTAATTTTTTCAAAATATAAGTGAAAATGCATTATATTTAATTTTTACATCATTTAAGTGAAAAATGCATAATGTTTATTTTTTACAACATTTAAATGAAAAATTTATTATATTTAATATTTACAACATTTAAGTGAAAAATGCAACAATAAAACTAGAGCAATTCATATTAAAATAGAATCTTGAATCACTATTTGGTAATATAAATAGTTCTATCTATTTATGAAAGTTAAATTGTAACCATATAGAATGGAGGTACTTAAAAAATTTATTATTGCATTAAAAATATCAACAATACATCACATACAGTATTGCCTCGAATAATTAGTAAAATAAATATATCTTTTCAACTTATCTTAGTTAATAACTCAGTTAAGTAATTATTTGAATAACACAGCCCTTATAAAAATTAAAGTATTTAAGCAAATAAGTAACATAACTTTTTCTCTATACTGAGTTCTCAATCAGAGACACTATAATATAAACAAAGACAGTAACATTCCCTCTTTAATCTCTAAAAATACTTATGTTATTGAAACGTAATAAAAAAACAAGTGTTTATTAAATCTTACTCCCTAAACATCCATTTTTGATTTATTTTTATAACCCATTTTTAACAAAATCTAAAATATGAGAAAAAATAAGTTTATATATAACATAAAATGTGAAAATGGTGACAAATTGTGTTATGAAGCAATCAAAAAATAAATATGCAGTTACGAAGTCTTTTCAAAATGGTAAGAAATAAATAAATGATGAAGTCTGGATGGCTTTAATATGTATGGATATTTTTAATATAAATTTAAAGTATAGAGGTTTTTAATATATCCTAGTATTCCACTTATAGTTTCTTTAAAACATAATTTTAATAAATATTTTAGTTGATCTAAGAATCATTTTTGCAAATTTAATTATATATTTAGTTTTGATTAATTAGTTTCACTATATTCAGTAAATTAGAAATATAATGTTCGATCTTGAAAAAGAATTAGCATATTTTTTGTTGTCTTATAGATTATTTAACATATAATATAAACACACTAATGACATGAACTAATTAATAGATAGAATATACCTAAGAATTAGATAACATTACTTAATAAGAGAATAATAGGTCAACCTCTAAAATTAAGTGTATAATAATCTAGCAATCCTAAATATAATCTTATTGGAAATATGGAAACAATTAATGTTTAATTGTATGAATGATAAATATTTCAGAAATCGAAATAACTATAGATCATTTATTTTATCCATTGGTTTAAAAATTATTATTAATAAGAATATTTAAACATTACTACTGAATAAGTTTGTACAGAGAGAAAGTTAATATTATAAGGTAATATTTTAGAAAATATTATTCATCCAACTGACATACCAGAGCCACACCACGAGTGACCCAATGGGATGGATCTAGGTGTGTATCAATTAATATAGGCAAAATATAGTTAGTAGACAAACCAGCAGATGTTATTTTACCTTTTCTTTCTGTTGTCCTATAAAGAGGACAGGTATACTTCCTTTCGCCTTTAAGTTCATTTTTTAAACAAGGTTTCACCCATAAAAGAGGCAATTCCTCATACATCACCATTGGAAATTCTTCCTCAAGAGATTGTCTGCACAAAATACTAGGACTTCACAAAAAGAAACTTGCTTTCCATCTTATATCTTTATTAATATTAATATTATTAATTATAGCAAAACTGTAAGGTTTGTAAATTTATTTTTTAAAATTCTCCTTCAATTTTAATACAAATAAAAAAAGATGTTTTTTTTAATAATTAAAAAATATAAAATAGTTAAGACAACTTTAAAATGAGAAAAAATATTTCAAGCTTTCAAACTTTATGAAGGAAAGCAGGATCACTAAATTGAAATGTTAATGTTTTTATTTAATTCTATATACACTTTTCATAAATTGATAGCTTTTGATACTTACTTAATTTCATCCCAGCGTGCACCTAACAAATGAATTCCATATAAAAAGGCTCCAACATCTGGGTAATTTTCAGCTCTCTTAGTTTTTAGAATTTCATAATCAAAAGTTAGTTCTAGTACTGATATTTTGTTCTTTCTAGCAAAGTCTTGTTTTACTGCACTCATAAATGAATGAGGAAAGTAGAATCCTGATATCCAAAAGTCTTTTGGCTTACCAAAACTGAACCATTTCTAGAAAATAAGATTAAATTTATCAGAGATTGACTTCAATAAATAGCTTCTTTTTTTAAACTTTTATTTAATGAAGTCAAATACTGCATGTAGTTTAAATATATATTATTTTATTTTATTAAAAAAAATAATTAGTTAAAGATTTCTATAAAATCAAAATATAAAATTGATATAGCACCTGAAACAGATTAATCCGTTCTATAAGGTCACTAATATATGATCCTAATGGTTTCAAGCTGGAGTAGGAACATTTCTGCCAAACTTTTGGAACAAGAGATGAGCCCAAAGATGTCAAAATGTCTTCTAAATCTGGAGTTAAAACAGTAAGTCCTTTTATTGCATTCAGTAGATCTGTCAAGGATGATTTAACCACATCTTGCAGGTAAGTAAATGCTAGTAGTTCTTGAAATAAAACTGATACCAAGCATTCATTATTATTAGTTGAAAATTGGTTTAATATTTCTTCAGTATCAAATGAATCAGGCATCTAAACATTATGAAAATAAGAAAAGGAAAAAAAGTTAAATAAATTTTTGAACTTCTAAACTAAAAAAAAATATGGTAATTTCCATTATTAATTCAAATGACAATCAGATAAATATATATATATTAACTATTATAGCTGTACTAAGAATATAGAATTTGATAAGAAAATCTGAAATTTAATCTCAAATAGATTTAATAATATCAACTGGTATTCCTTAAACATGATAAATTATTATAGAAACTTCAAAATGAGAAGAAAAAAATTGCTGCACTACAGCCCATGAAGCATCTTGGGTTCAATATTTATGAGGAAATACTGTTTTAAGGCGAATGGTTGTGCAAAGGTGGTGCTTGGACCAAAATCAAGCTCAAACCTTAGGTTTTCCCCTTAATTAATTAGGTACTTAATTATCAGTATCCATTTTATAGAGGTTGGGTGTGCACCAGGAGGGTCTCAAAACCACAGGGTCAATCCAGGGCTGATGTAACAGAATAATTAATTATCTGCCATCAGCCAGATTCAAATTCAGGACCTTCAGTTCAGGAAGTTAGTGCCTTACCCACTGAGCCACCTTGTGGGTTAACAATAACTTCTACTAAAGCCATACGAAACAAACTAAGTTTTAGGGATTTGTACATCAACATTACACTTTGTAGGTGGTTTGGAAAAAAGAATATGTTTGATTTTATCGTAAACTAGTAATATAAATTTAAGTAAGTATCCTTAATTTCTTTTTTTTCTTTCTCTCCTGCAGTAAACCTGCAAGAGAACCGTTAACTGTGCTAACTTACATTATCTATACTCTGAAACCGTTGTATGAGCATATTAATTTTAATACATTAATAATTTACAGATGGTATAGTGATATTAACTTGTTGCTAATAAAAAATTAATAAAGTTAGTATCCCTTAGTAATAATTGAAACTTGTGAAAGTGAACTATAGCTTAAAAAAGTTGAAAGGTAAGATATTAGTAACTTACTTTTAAGAGAATATTCTCAGCAATATTATATACATAATGATCAGATGTTTTGAGTTTGTTGTATACGTTTTCTCCAAATATATTGAGCAAGGCATCTAGAAGTTTATTTGATATACTCAGGTTACGCATTACTCCTGCATTTTTGTTCAACCCATATACCTCAGGATGAGGGTTTGGTGGTAAACTCTACACAAAATAATAAGAAACAAATTCTTAATCAATCATTGCATAGCAGCGAGCACTATGACATTAGAGACATTTATCCTGGAAAAGTAACATAATACTAAAAAAAAAAGATTAATTCACAAGTTATTTTGAAAAATAAAACTTAAAAAATACAAATTACAGAAATAAGGAAATAACATAAAAGAAACTCATGGAATAAAAACTGTATTCATACTCAATGATGTTATTCAAAGTAATTATTAAATTATGTCATTAAAAGCAATATTTTATAATAAAAAAATATTTGGTGAATTATACTCTTCCACACTGTGACCCCCTTGTCGAAATCCTTATTGCACCACACTCTTGGACAGACTCGGCACAAGAAAAGTATAAAGGATAACGAATGTATACATTGTCACTGCTAACCAACCCATTATTATAGCAACAACACAAGAGCTTTGATCAATAATATTGACTAAAACAATCATTTATTTAAACAGAATTTATGGAGCTAAGCCAAGAAAGATCTTTCTTGGAACACATATCAAGATGAATGATATAAACACATATGCCATTGTAAAGCCAGGAGTTGCAACTGACATTATTCTGCAACTATCTGATGGCTACAAGACGTACATTCTTTTCAAAACTCGTCAGCACTTCAAAGCACTTTTTTTTTCTCTGAACTTTTATGGGCCAAGAGGCTCATTAACTACTACGATATTGTGACCAAAGGTTTCATATGAATGTGTCTCTTTCCTTTTATCAAAAAAAAAAAAAAGAAACACATTTCAGGCAATTGGTGAATGAGCTAAGACTAGGTCTGGCCTAAACATTGCCTCTGTACATGCAAGAAAGGTGGGTTTTTCATTTGGAATAGGTATGTATCATACCAGATTCTTGTCATTCCTACTGGCTCTTTACGGTGGTTATCCCACCTGGTAGATGGAGTGTTTAGATAGCTACATTGTATACAGTGCAGTCCCAAGTATCTTCAATACAGGTGAGAGAACCCGCTAAAACTTTGTAAATGGGTTCATCTTATTGTAACCTACAATTTGTTTATCCTTGAAAATTCTCAGAAATAGGCTTTTTTAAAATTAAATTAATTGATTTAATTTGGTACCAAATACTCATAAATACCTATATGCTTTCAATTTGAATCATAAGATAATTTGATCACAAAATCGAAATAAAAGGTGGCCTACAAAAATATTAGTCCGTTTGGCCTATATAATCTCGTTAATTTGGCGTGCTGGGGGTGGAAGTCATGCCAAAAGATCCAACATTTTTGTAGGCCACCTTTATTCTTGATTTTGTGATCAAATTATCTTATGATTTAAGCGGAAAGCAAGTTGGTGTTCATGAGTTTTTAATACCTAATTAAATATACAAATTTTGCCGATCTTCAGATTGAAAACTCCCCAATTCCGAGAATTTTCGTAAAAAAAAAAGTTGTAGTTTACGATGAGATGAAGCAGCTTACAATGTTTTAGATGGATGTTAATAATTTAATAAAAATTGGTATGTACCACAAACTATATGAATCTCTGTACAAGAAACCAATTGAGTGAGGTGAACACTTGATCTTTCGACCCTAAAGGTAAGTTTTTGTACCAGCAGTCCTTTTAGTACATTGTCCAATAGTAGTGACAGCCCCAGGTGTCTTCAAGCCAGGTGTGAGAAGGTTTGGTGCAAGGTGGGATATAGACGAAGATGAGACATTTATATATTCAACATTCTCATACCTTTAGCTCAAATGCTTTGAGTTTGTCAAAGTCACTAATTTTTTTCTTTACTGAGAACTCCACAGAAAAGTTTGACTATGCAGCAACAAAGATTCCAGATGAGCACTGATGACTTCTAGGAAAAATATATATATATCGCATACTATTGTCATTTGCAGCTCCTGGCTCTATGATTGCTTATATGTTTGTACTATTTGCCTCTTTATGCTGTAGGGGCTTGGTAAACTCTGCATTAGTAAAACCAGTGTTCCAAGAAAGAACTTTTGTTGTGCTGATTCTATCCAACATTATGATGCAATGAGGGTATCAGTGAGGAGGGGGGGGGGGTGGTAATGATGTGTTAGAGTATACTTCACCCAATTTTTTGTTATCAAATACCTCTTTTAAAAGCATAATTAATTTGGATCAAATCATTGAGCATAAATAAGCTTTGTATCCTATGATTATATTATTTCCTCATAGGATATGATTTATCATTTTCATTAATTTGTATTTTTAAAAATAACTTGTGTTTATTTTTCATCTATTTATAATAACTCAGGAAGCTATGCCTCATTTATTAAAAAAAATATTTAAATTTAAATTATTAGGTAACTGGCAATGGCACAATTTTATTATTGTTTCAATTTTCAATGGTGCTTTTATTTGTATTATATTTAAAATAAATGTAGCAACTTGAAAAATATAATGTAATAAAAAATTAAAGATACTTGCCACATTACCTTTATACATTGTATAAAATCTTTATAGTCATATCGAACTGGTAGGAAATATGTTTTATCATTTTCATTAAGAGAATAATCTTGGCAGAAAATTATTTCTTTGTTTATAAAACGTTTGAGAATTGATTTTAGAATTTTCTTATCCCAATCATCTTGCAGTTTACCTCCATAATTGCATTCTCCAATCAAGTATTCCATCATTTGAAATGATGTCTCTTCGTATTCAGAGAGAAATGTCTACATAGTGCATAAAGATAGAAATAGTAAAATTTCAAAAATAAATGCATCAAAAAATATGATATAGCCTGTTCTAAAACTTGATTCAGAATAATATTTCATTAAACAATAATATGAAACCTCAATAAAAATAATAAGAAATTATAATCTTTAAAAAACTCATAATCATAATCACTGGTCTTAAAAATTAAATTCAATATTCAGTTCACGTATGCACTAATGATCGTTGGCGATCCATTTTTCAAATTTTTGAATAGCTTAACATTAAATTAAATTGAAGTTATAAGTTATCTATACACAATGAATTGTGCCAAAATCGTCAAAACAAAATTATTTTATGAAATATAATACTTTTCCTTGTATTTATGATTAGTTTAAAACTCCACGTAGTCAAAGATTTTACAGATTCCATAGCACAAAGCATATTAAAAGTATAATACATTTCTTTTTACTTTCAGTGTAAACATTAGTTTATGAATTAATATAAAAATAAATAAAGATTAATAACACTTAAAAAGAAAGTATGAAGAAAGAAAGAGAAAAAAAAATTGAAATATAAAAGAAATACCAAAGCTAAGGCTTAACACAGCAATGATAAGTATACCTGAAGTTGTGAAATTGTTGTAATATAATCACATTCATTGAAATCATAAGGAAAGGTCCAACCTATAGATCCAAATGTACCTCTTTCTCTAACCACAGAGTGAAAGAAAGTGATTCCATAAAGCAATCTTGTGAATGTTTTTTCTTTTTCTGGGCAAGATTCATAGAATTTATGATCACAAACAGGTTGTGAATAATATCTTTCAAGTAAATTCTTTTTTAAACCAGTAGGTCCTTCAATAATTATTTTTGTTCCAATTTCAAGAATTGAGACCGGAAACTAGATGAAATTAAAATTAAGAAAACAATAGAATTAGTTTTATTTGATTTTGTGTATATTCCTGTTTAAAATAAAACATTAAAATGTAATTTACAGTGGTTCTAAGGATGATTTAATTTTTCTCAGAAGAGAGCATTATATAAAATCTAACTTGTCTAAAGATACCTGTTTTCACTTCATAGAGAGGAAAGATTGAAACCAAAAGATGAAATCGTTGAAGAAGGATAATGATTTTAATTTGGAAGAGAGGATAGAATGATTAATGGAGTCAAAGGCTTTGCAGAAGTCAAGGAGTACAAGGATGTTTAATTTTTGTCATCAAAACCTGATAACTTAATTACAGATAATAAAATAACAACAAGTTCGCGTCCTGGTGCCGGTGGTTTTTTTAACTCTGGCATTAATCCCAGATTAATAAAGGATAATGACTTTTTTCCAAGATGCAGAAAACACTGAATTCTAAAGGGAGTATTTCAGGGAGGCATCATTTTATTAATTTGACATGAATGCCATCTGGAAGGGTGGAATTAGTATGTGATTTCATTAGAGCAGAAAAAAGGTCTGTGAGGGAAATGTAGGAAAATTAAAAACCATCATCGTTAAATGATGTCCCAGTAGAGAAAACAGTAGATAGTAGAGAAGAGCTATAGGCAGCAGATATAAAAAGTGAATTTAAATTATCAAGCGATACTGGAAAGGCTAGTGAGAGAGGGAATCTGAAAGGTTCAAAAAGATAAAGTTTGTGAAGGAGTAATTATTTTGAATCAATATCAGGAGCTGATGAGAGGGCTTCATGGAAGTAAGAAGATTTTGCTCGTTGGATCCTTATTTTTGTGAAGTTGTGGAGCCCCCTATACGCTTGGTAGTCATCTGCAAGCCTAGTATGCCTATAGCGTTGCATAGTATACAGCAACATCGCATATCTTCTGCAGATCTAGAACATCTTGAAATTAGGCCAGTAACAAAAGGTAGAAGGTTTTTTATGAGAGAATGGGTGTTACAGATACTGAGAAGATTGGAAGTAAGAATATCAACCTTGTAGATGATAGAAGAACATGAATATATTCCATTGCAGTCTAAGATTTCAAGATCAGGTAATATTTTCTCACAGATAAGGTGTCTAGATGGTGGAAAGTAAAGGTTTTTGGCCGAATCAGTGCAGTTTGGATATCACATGATACTTAGATTAGGCACTAGCGGATCCAGGATTGAATTTTGAGGGGCTTCAGTCCGAAAGGTTTTTTTTTTTATAAATAATGATTAATACTTTAGTAGAAAAAGAAAGAAACTAACTAATTACCTATATGAAATTGTTTTTAATTGATTCTTGAAGTTCTATTAAATGTAATTATACTAGCAATAATACTTTTACAGATAGGTTTTAATATTTATTTCATGAGACATGGTTATGTTTTAACATTTTGAGGGGACTTCAGCCCAAAAGCCCTTTCCCCTGTAGATCCACATGTGAGATCAGGTCATGGAGATGATAAAAATGATATTGGAAATTGAGAGGAGGAATAGTATCCAATCAATATCTCATGATATGAAGGCAAGGAGATTAAGATTGGTGGGACATATAGCTTGGAGAAAACCATCAGATCTGCATGATCTGTAAGCCAGCAAAAGATAATATATATAGGCATTATAATTATATTATAAATATAGTATTAGGCAAGAAAATAAAATAAAAACAATTTTTTTTATTATATTTGTATTTTCTCAATACAATAATAAATTTAATTTTTCAATAAAATTATATCTTTATTATGGAATTAATTTCAATTTATTAAAGATCACCTTTACTAAAATCTAGCTAGAATCCACCAATCCTAAATAATAACTAGGGTAAATATTTACTTTAACAGAAGAAATAGTAGTCATCCAAAGTTTGATATCCGGGAATTCTGCATTTGAATCAATTCCATCAATGATTCTTTCTAATGTTAACAGCCAATTTGGAGCTAAATGACAGTTCTGTAGACATATCCACCCCCCATCACTAATTGTCTCTTTAATGATGATTTCTGCAACCTTTTCCTAAAAATATAAATGGTTGTAAGGATTCTTCCTTAGGTAGATTATGGCACAACTCACTTGTATACTGATATATTTGATGAAAAACACTAAATTTACCTGATTTTCTCCTAAGGAAATTATTCTCAACTTATCAGTCTTGTTTTTAATTTTTGCAAATGATAGTAATGTATCCATTGAATCACTTTCTGGAGATTGAATAAAAATTAAGGGTGTGAACCAGGCTGATTCTTCATAGGCTTCATTCAGATCAAAAGGAGGAGGATTCAAAAATTGTTCTCCCATTTCTTTTCGGATGAAGTCAATAATCCCAGAAGCTAACTGATTTGATAAAAGTATTCAGATAAGAAATCAGATAAGAGTTTGCTTTCATTATCATTATCATTTCTATAAATTTTACTCCATATTTGTACAACATAAATGTAAATTAATTATTTTCACAAAATAAATACTAGTTTTATCTTAATCAAAGGTAACATAAAATATAGGTAAATTAATTTTAGAATAATGTTTTGTAGAGCAATACTGTTCTAAAATTATGTGAATGACTTAATAAAATGGCTTTTTTGAGTTTATTTTAAGCCATAAAATTAATATTAAATAAAGGAAATAATTACTTAGGATATGACAGGAATCCTTTATTTTAGATTGTTTTTCTGCATGGAACAAGAAATTTTTTCTCATAGAATTTTTCAATAAAGTTCTAATATAGCTTTATTTTAAAAACTGTTAAAGCAATCTTTTTCACACACAAAAAAAAAAATTGTACAATACATTCTTAGATACTAAAAAAAAAATTATATATTAGAATCAGGTAGTTCATTCAAAAGAAATTGTATTGGTAATCTAAGTACAATTATTAACTATTTCTCATTTAACATACTTTTTTTAAAGAATATAAATGATTAGAAGTTAATATTTTATAATAAATCCAGAACTTCATTACAAAAAAATGACAAGTCATGTTTAAAATGTGAATTTAGGATGGCTGGATGACCAACCACAATTTCTGCATGACATATAACTGAAATATTTGATCATTGCAATAAATTTAATGCATACTTTGATTTGAAAGTAATTCCATTAATCACGGACAGATTTTTTTATCATTGAAACCACAGATGGGAATCAGTAAATTCATATGAAAATATTATAAATATACTATATTCGTTACTTTACTATCACAATATTAAATTTTATGTCCTTTATTGAGACAGATTGTAATATTTATCAACAAACAAAAGTTAAACTAAAAAAAAAAATATTAAATTTTAAATTATAATATGTAAAATACCTGATCTGGTCTTAAAGCATGAAGAAGAATAAGTTTTTGAAAGTTATTGAGATTTTTGTTGAAAGGAGGTGGTAATTCTTCGCAACTTGAGTTGTATCTATTACAGAATTCTGACCAAAGATGTGATTCCTTATTGATACTATCATTTAAGCCTAGAATAATTAAAAATTTATTTTGATTTGAAAAAAATTATAATTTATTTATTTTGTTATTATAATAGTTAAGTTTTTTTTTTTTCCTATATCGTCTATGACTCAAATAATGGAACAGTTCAATTTTTTTTTAAAGACCTTAATTGAAATGGTAGTAACTTTGAATAGCTGATCAATTTTTACTTAATAGATAATTTGCAGTCCAGGAAAATATTAAGTAAAACATTGACCAGCAATTAAAAATTACGAACATTTCAAATGGTGTATTTAAAAAAGAAAAACTTTTGAGTTGAGCCATTACTCAAGTCAGAAGACTATCTGAAGAAGAAAATAATTAATTAAAAAATAAATTACTACTGACAATATATTCAAATATTTCTTAACCTTGATATAAGAAATCATTCGAGAGATAAGAAGACATGCAGAATGATCAAGCAATAGTGTCCTACTCACTGCTTGCGACTTTCCAGTCCTCTCTTTATCAGTTGGACACGTGAATTTGGAATGGATTAATTCGGTTCTGAGGGGAAGAGTCCTCAAATCTGAGTTGAGATTATCTGTACTGTGGTTTAAACCTGTTGGAGGGTGTCCACAGGGGGGTGTGCTGTCTCCGCAGCAGAGTAGAATGGGTACCTGGGCACTCAGGAATTCCAGGAAATGAGAAATCCGATTACCTTGCTAGGAAAGGCTCTGAACAGGTGCTGATTGCAGCAGAGCCTATTTGTGGGATAAGCCTTGGCTTTGCCAAAAGATATATTAAGACAATTGTGGGCAATAAATTTATGCTACACTGGACACAGAGTAGGAAACAGATCCATTCTAAGTTATTCCTTGTAGGGCCCTGCCATAAAAGAAGCAATTCACTTCTTCTAATGGACAGGAATACCATTAGGCGGGTGACAGGACTGTATACTGATCGCTGTCAATTAAATAAAACCTTTTCAATTTGGATGTAAGTGAAACCTCCACCTGCAGGCTATGTGGCCTGGAGGATTATATGCAAATGTGATAAATTGGCTAGAATGCGATACTTTCACTTTGGATGTGACCGTATCACTGACCCCAATCACTGTGAACTGATTGATCCCATCAGTATCAATAGGTTCGCGAAGGCATCTGGTCTGTTTTAACTGAGTTTAGGATAACGCACAATAGGCCTTTTAGAGCCCATGGTGCACCCCCTCCCCCCTATGTCGGAGCAAATATAAAAAAAAAATAAAATAACTATAGAGGAATCTCACTCCTTCCAGTACAATATTTACATTAATCCTTATTATCAAACTACGGAATATGTTGAGTAAATTATCGCAGACTATCTATGCAGATTTAGACAGAACTGTTCAACTATTGATCAAATATTTGAGAAAAAAATAGAATACAACGGCATTGTTCATCAGCTGTATGTCGATTTCAAAATGCTTACAATTCTATTGGCCGCCAGAAGTTTTATAATATTTTAATTGAGCAGGGGATTCCAAAAAAATAGTAGATCTAGTTATGATGTGCTTGACGGAAATACTTAATTAATTTAGAATCAGTAATTAATTATCTGAAAAGTTTGAGGTTCATTCGGGTTTAAAACAAGGTGATTCCCTCTCACCTGTCCTATTTAATTTGGCATTAGAACATGCCATTAGGGAGGTAATGAGAACCAAAAAAGGGTTGAATCTGGGTGGGATAACACCCGTGCTTGGCTATGCTGATGATTGGTTCTGTTAAACGAAGACACGGAAATAATAAAACTAAATACGACAACTTTAATGAAATCCGGTAAAGAACTAGTGGGCTTTAAATAAACACGAATAAGACAAAATATATGGTTAGCTGCAGAGATGGCGATAGTTCTGGTGATATCAATATAGAAGGTATTTGAACAAGTAGAGGAGTTTAGGTACCTATGGTCTCCTATAACTAGAAAAAACGAAATTGAAGAGGAGATTAAGGTCAGGCTGAAATGCTTGTTATTTTTCTGTGACTAAATTACTGAGCTCGTGCCTCCTGACCTGGAACTTAAAAGTTAGAATCTATAAAAACATTACCCTACCTATGGTTTTCTAAAGATGCAAAATGTGGCCGCTTACATCAAGTGGTGAGCAACGTCTTAATGTTTTTGAAAATAATGTATTGTGTAGAATATTCGGACCAAAGAAGGATGGGTTAACCGGAGAGTTCAGACGGATACGCAACGCCCAATTAGGTGAATTGTATCCGGTTAATATAATTGAGATGATTACATCGTGGCGAATAAAATAGGCTTGTAAAATTGTTGGACTTGGTAACAGCAGAATTCCTAAAAAGTTATTATTTGCTATGCCAAATGGTAAATATCCGAGGGGTAGACCGAAGCAAAGATAGAAATATTGCATTAAGGCCGATCTGAAGGGATTGTGTTTGGACAGCGATGGGTGGAGGGAGGTGTGTAGACAGCGATTGATGGTATCGGCATCGAACCTTTGGGTTGTCTAAGTCTTCTATTATTATTATTATTTATCTTTTTACAGCAAGCGCCAAAGTCCCTAAGGCTACCACCTTCCATTTGGGAGGAAGTTTTTCAACGCTTTACAATCTTTATGTCATGATGTTGAAAATGCTAACAATCATTAAAAATTATTTCAAGTATATTGATTCACAAATATTATTTCGAAAAATTCAGTAATTAAGAAACTAAAATCATATTGACAACTTAATGGCTATGGGAAAGCTAATAATCAAACTTGTTCACCTCAAAATGACTCACCTTTAAAAGAAGAAAGGGTGTTGAGGTAACATATACATTCCCATGATTTCTGAGGTAAATGTATTTTATTCTCTTCTGTTGATAAACAATTTTCAAGTATTTCTGGATTTCTTTTTCCAAGTATATAGTCAAATTCTTCTTGTAAGAGTTTATTTTCTAATCTAAAATGTAAAAATGTGGCTGTGTAATGCAATGGTTGTCATTTTTAAAATACTATTTTAACATCTAAAAATACTATTCTAACATAAATTAAAAAAAAATCTTAGTATTTTTTAATTATAAAAAATACTAAGATGTTTATTTCCTTTTAATTAATATTGATCTCTTTTCACTCAATGATTAATAAAAAATTAAAAAATGCAAGTTTTTCGTATAAAAAGTTTTTGTAACATATTTCATGAAATTTATATCCAAATTTTAACTATACTATATTTATTTACCACAGCTTATTATTATTATAATAGCATAGCACAACCTAATTACTCTTAAATTCATAATTTCGTTCATCCAGTTTTTCGTACCCATAGTTAGATAGAGTGATTAGATTATAGAATAGTTTGTTATTTCAAACAAATGGGATTACAATCACTCTGCATCATTCCAAAAAAAGGCAATGCCTTCCCTTCACACATTCAATTTAGTGATAAACACTTGAAGTATATATGACATGTTTGTTCATTATACAATAAATATGAAAATTCATTGGGAAAAAATTGAATGAAAATAAAACATAAAACACACACATACCCACAAATGTTTATAAACATATATACATACATACACATTTTTGAAATTATATATATGCTATAGTATTATATATATATATATATATATATATATATATATATATATATATATATATACAACAGGGATATCATGTCTCATAAAATGTCAACTTACAATAATAGTTTCGTGCACAGTAAAAATGAATATAAAATTCTGTCCTTGTCAAATAGTGTATAAGCAACATTAACATATAAATTATAGTTGAACGTATGTTTCAAATTTTTAATTCGTTCCTCGATTAAACTATTTTTAACTCTGAAATAAAATTATTATTATATTAATTTACTAATTTTAAGTACTTTATTGCAAAAATTAATAAAATTAAGAGAAAGTATGGAGAAAAATAATTGATATATAATACAAATTAGTTCCTTGGTAGTTATACTGAAACAGACCAAGTAATGTTTATTCCTTACAAGTTATTAAATGAGTAATATAAAATTAATACTAATAACTAATAACACCTTAACAGATAGATTCGTCTTTTATTCAAGAGATTATTATATTAAATTATAATTTTATTTAATCATAGCTTCCTAGGTAAATAAATTTACAATGTAATAATTGTAATTAATTAATGCATTAATAAAATTTACATTAAAAAGAAAACTATATCAATAATTTATGAAATAGTGGTGGTATCTATATACTTAAATAGAATCAAAGTATGTTGAGTTCTAGTAATTAACTCTCAAAATTACTTATGATTCATACAGTTAAGAATTTTTTTTAATCTGATGAGTATTTGGTTTCCCTGTTTGTTGGATGACTATAGAATATATGTTAACTAATAAAGTTATAGAGTGAAGTAACTTACTAGGTAGAGCTCTTGATTCTTATGATGAATGAACCAAAATCAAATATGGGCCAGGTTCACTATTTCTCTATACAGAAAATTAGTGAGTTTTTATAGAGGCTTCCTAGGCCCATTTAACCTTTAAAAACAAGCAATATAAGTAGGAAATAAGTCTTACATAACGGGATTTTGGCTCATTGACCTCTGAAAAACTAAATCCTTTCCTCGAATCACTAGCCCAATCCTTAAATCCGATCTATTCCTATTTCTCCATTGATAAAATGGTGGAGTGTCTTTCCTCAAACCTTCTCCTATTCCTAAATCAATAAGCGCCCTTAAAGACTTCGTCAACTATACCTTCAGATGCCCTGCTGCTCCCTGGATTAATCCAGAAATAAGAAAGTTGATGAAGAGAAGAGTCGCTGCAAAGAGGCGTTTCAGATGAACATGTAATCCGGATGAGTATTTCCCTTTTATGACTTGTCGAAACCTTACCCAATCTTCCTTGAAACGTGCTAAGGCACAATTCTTTCATACATCCTTATCACAAGCCTTAGATCCTAAGTCTAGATGTAAAATCTTTAAAAACCTCTCTGTGGTAAAATCAAAAACCTGTACCACCTACCCTGTTTCTTCTGATAAACTGAATTTCTACTTTACTGATCCTGACCCATTACCACTTTCCTCCTCATACTG